GCTGGGTCAAAACAACCCAATAGCTTGGTCAAAACGACCCAACAGCTGGGTCAAAACAACCCAATAGCTTGGTCAAAACGACCCAACCGCTGGGTCAAAACAACCCAATAGCTTGGTCAAAACGACCCAACCGCTGGGTCAAAACAACCCAATAGCTTGGTCAAAACGACCCAACCGCTGGGTCAAAATAACCCGACCGTTATATTTAACCCAGCATTTTTTAGAGTGCATGTTTTTAAGAATATTTTGAATCCCCAGTTTTCTGACCTTTTGAATACGGGAATTATGGTAAGTAAGGATCATATTCACACATATTAATGGAAGAAATATAAACCTGCTATTACTTTATTTCTTCATGATTTTATGATAACTTTTGTTTTGAGAAAGTGTCAAATACTTAAAAAACAAAACTAAGTATAAAGACAGAAAACTTATCCTCCTCTTTGTCAAAAATATTTACAATATTCACTGCAAAAACAAAAAAAGATATTAAGATACTCAAGATATCGTTTAACTGTCAATAAGGTAAGAAAAATGATCTTTATTTAAAGGGAAAACAAGATTATGTTTTCTCATTTTAAGCAAAAACTCACTTAATTTTGATACATTTTATTCAGAAAGCAAGACCTTAATATCGTACGCCTCTCAAGTAAATGTATCTTGTTTTAAGAATGTTTAGATATTTATCATGGAAAATTAAAATTAAAAATGATCTTTGTTAAAGTGATTCTACTCAATTTTTTGCTCCTTTTTTAGTTAATCGATGTGCATTACAAAGTTGGTATATGCTCCCTATCTTGTTATAAATGTGTAATGAAAGAAAAAGAGAAAAAGAAAATATCAAGTGTCAGTCTGTATGTGTTGTGACTGCATCTCATTCAGGTATGCAGCGAAGGACAAGCACTTGCTGCAGTCTCTGAACATCACATACGTCCTGAACGCAGCTCACGGGAAGTTCAGCGTCAACACAGGAGCCAGTTACTACAGAGACACTAAAATCAGCTACCACGGCGTGGAGGCCTTTGACATGCCCTCCTTTGACTTGAGCCCCTTCTTCTACTCCGCCGCCAAGTTCATCAAGACTGCCATGAGCACCCCTGGAGGTGAGGAGAGGAAACAAAACAAAACACATCAGCTACACTAATGCAGAATTCCATCTGAATATATTTAGCATGAAGAAATCGCATCAGGTTTTAGGACCATTCAATTTTTTTCATTTTGTGTCATTATATGATTAACTATTGAGCAATTCTTATTATGCACAATGCATGGTTATTACACTTAACTAAAACTAAAACTAAAACCATAAAAAAAAACATTTTAAGCACTTAAATACATGAAACATTAACTTACATAAAATAAAATATATTTTTTTTCTGGCTGGCTGCCAAAGCAACATTTCTCATTTTCATTGCTTAACATGTTGTACTAAAATAACTAAAAGTGAAATAAAATGAAAAAAAAAGCCATATAGACATATTTTTAAATATTCTAATAAAATTGGCAAAACAACATAATTACTAAAACTTTTTACTGTTAATAAAAACTATAATAGCATCTCAATAACTGGCACAATGGTGATTTCTTAATGAATTCTTTTTTATATAATTTAGTTTTTTTTGTTGTTGTTAATGCAAATTTGAGTAAGTAAAATGTCAAAATGCTAAAATAAATCCCATTTTTTTCTTAATGCAAGATATAGCTATTTTCTTCATTTAAGATATAATTAAAAAAAGAATTATTAAAAATGAATGTAATTTTCTTCTGTCTTACTGAAATATGGTTTTGATAAATTCTTAAAAATCTGTGGACATTTTTCTTGTTTTTCACTAGGTAAGGTGCTTGTGCACTGTGCGATGGGTCTGAGTCGCTCCTCGTCGCTGGTTTTAGCGTATCTGATGATTCATGAAGGCATGACACTGGTTGAAGCCATTAAAGCCGTCGCACAACACAGGAATATCTGCCCAAACTCCGGCTTCATGGAGCAGCTGAGAGAACTGGACAAAACACTGCACTGCCAGAGCGCTGCCTTCTAACATGCTCACTAATCACAAACACACTACATTACATACGGTAACAGAATTATTCACATGAAAATTCCCTGACAGAAATGCATGATTCAGAATCTGCCTTATATGTATATGATGGAATTACATGATTTGATACAGGATTTAATTTCTCTCTTTTCTTTTTTTTTTTTTTTTTAAAGTTGTTGCATTTTCTGTTGCTGTCAAAAATTCTGCTATTCCTGCTTAATGTTCAGAGACACAATAAGTTAACATTCAGAGTTTAACACTGTAGTGCTTTCAGAGCAACAAACAGGAGGGAAGGGGTTAAAAATAAAACGTCTGTCCAAAAGGATTTCAGATTTATAAATATAATGAAGATTGTGAATGTGCTCTGAATATATTATTATATTTCAATTATTAAAATATATAAAAGAATAAATCTACCTGAATGAACTTCAATTCAGAGATCATCTCAAAGATCCTCAGCTGTCTGTCTGTTTGTGTCTCATCTATATTTACCAACACGCAAAGAGGCCAAAATAGAGACACGTATCACTTACTGCATCACAATCACACACAGACGCGGCTCCACGGGGACGACAGACCTGGCAGAAGAAACAGAAGAAGAGTTCAAAGAAACAGCATGTGAGTTTGTCAAGAACAGAAAAGGCAAAAAATGACATTATGTTCTCATTGTACATCCAGCTCTTTTATTTCAAAAGATCAATCTAAATGAAATTCCCCATAATGCGACCCATTAAAGAATGAGCACACAGGAAGTTGGATACGAGACTCCGCCCATCTGTGACCTTTTGACCCTCCTGCTAAAAAACCGTCGACCCTCCAGCGCCTATAATGAGGTCTGGCCCGACATCTACATCAGTGATGCGTGCGTATAACACCACCGGACTCCAATGCAACACTTTTAGTCTTCTAGTGAATGATTTCCACTTAATGCTTGACAAGACAAGAATCTGCTGTACTTTTTAATTCTACTGCAGTAGCTCAAACATCTAATTCATGCAAATGCTACTGGTCCTCACGCATCACATGATAGAAGTTTGAATATACGTGAGTGCAAATGAGATTTGAGAGCTACCGCACAGAATTAACTCTTGCGTGATTCTCTCAGTACGACAGCGAAAGACAAGACACTTCTAAGACATCTAGGAGTCACTCACCTCATCAACGCTGCACACGGACCCGCTCACATCCACACCGGAGCTGATTTCTACTGGGACACAAACATAGAGTATCACGGCGTGGAGGCACCAGACAGCAGACACTTTGACATCGCACCATTTTTCTACCCAACAGCCAGTTTCATTCATGAAGCTCTGTCACAGCAAAGTAAGACATTGTGCACTTTGTGACCTTTTACGATGAGTTTGCATCATGTATGTTTCTGAACGTGTCTGTAATCCCTTACAAAAAATTAATTTTCTCAAATGTGCTATTATCAGTGTTGGGGGTAACGCATTACAAGTAACGCGAGGTACGTAATCAGATTACTTTTTTTCAAGTAACTAGTAAAGTAGCGCATTACTTTTTAATTTACAAGAGAATATCTGAGCTACTTTTTCAAATAAGTAACGCAAGTTACTTTTTTTCCATAAAAAGTAACTAAGTAACGTAATGAGTTACTTTTTTATGGAGTAACGCAATATTGTAATGCATTATTTTAAAAGTAACTTTCCCCAACACTGGCTATTAGTGTACTTCTTTTACACTAAAAAATAAGAAAGTATACTTTTATGTACTTCTTAGAAATACACTTAAAATTACATACTTGATGTACAGAAAAGTATATATGGTCTATACTTGTACTCAATTTTTTGATTGAGATATAGTTAAAAGTACAATTAAGTGTTGTACTTGGCTTGTAGTTGTGTTTAGTATTTTGCTTGAGTAGCCTATTTTTCACATTGTTTTACATAAAACTTACACATTTACTCAGTGACATTATTCCAAAGAAAAGTGTTTGTCTTCATAATGTTTCATCAAAAAATACTTAATAAAATGACTAAAAACTTGATCTGAAAATGGAAAATATAACATTTCTGGTATATAAAAAACACTTCAATTGTTCAAATTCAATCAATTCCTTATGTAAAATTGAAAGTGCCCCTATTATGGGTAATGAAAGCTTCATATTTTGGTTTTGGGAGTCCCCAACAACAGGTTGACATGCATGCAAGGTCAAAAAACACTTCGTTTTGTCTTACAATATGCATTTATTTTTACCTTATTTGCTCAATGACTCCCAAACAATTTGTTCAACAATTCATTTTCAATCATCTGCGGTGATTGGTCCGATTGGTCGATTTAATTTCCATTTCATAATAAAAGCAGCGTTTGTGAGCGCAGTGCTGCTTTGTGTACAGCCTTACCGGGGAAACAGCTGTTTTTACTGCTCCAAAACCGGCACCTACTGGCAAAGAATGAATTTGCATTTTCATTCACACCAACAAGTGGGCGGGCAATATGCTAATGTTTCATGTTGAGGTCAATACGAAACGGCTTGGGATTCGTTTTAAAAACGACTGGTTTCAATGATTCAGAGTCGACTCTTTTTTTTGAGAGACAATAACTTTATACACACTTTCAGATTTAAACCTTTGCAGGGTATTTTCATTCACTTAGAGCTGTGTTACACACTGCATGAAAGGTAATTTTGAAAATCCATAATAGTGGCACTTTAAAGACGCACCCTACAGTTTTTCTTGTTGAATGAATATCCTGTTTTACTTGAATGTGTTTGATGTTCTATAGACATCTATGTGACGGGTTTGAACCGGTTAAACCTGCATGTGTGATGGTAGTTTTATTTGTTTTTCAGGAGGGGGGAAGGTCTTGGTTCATTGTGCCAGAGGAGTGAGTCGTTCAGCGACACTAGTTCTGGCATATCTGATGATATATGAAAAACTCACAGTCGCAGAAGCCATCAATGCGGTTTGTGCCCAAAGGAACATTCTACCCAATGCTGGATTCCTTCAACAGCTACGTCAGCTGGACTCCAACCTCAACCTGCAGAGAAGAGATGTGATCTATTAGTATAAACAAAGAGGAATCGGTTACACTTTACTTGAAGGGGTGTGCATAAGACTGACATGACACCTACATAATTATGACATGACACATATCATGAATATGAAGGTTTTTTATGCATGTTTATGACAACTGTCATTAAGTGTCATTTGCTCAGTTATGTAATTTTTAGTGCAAAGCTGACATTGTTTGAGATGTCTTTGTTATGGGCTATGGTTAGGGGTAAGGGTAGGGGTAGGGTTAGGTTAGGGTTAGGTCAAATAATGTCATATTTGCATTAAAAATGACATAACTGAGCGAATGACACTTAATGACAGTTGTCATAAACATGCATAAAACCTCCTTCATATTCATGACATGTGTCATGTCATGATTATGAAGGTGTCATGTCAGTCTTATGCACATCCCTTCAATCTTTAATAACTAATTTAAACGAATAAATCACCTGAAAATTAAAATTAGCTGAAAATGAACTGTACTCACCACCTCAAGCCATCCAATATATGGATGAGTTTGTTTCCTCATTGGAACAGATTTGGAGAAATTTAGCATCATGTTACATCACATGCTCGCCAATGCAGTGAATGGGTGCCGTCAGAATGAGAGTCCAAACAGCTGATAAAAACATCACAATAATCCACAGCACTCCAGTCCATCAATTAACAAGTCCATATTCCATAACAATGCCTCTCTCATCAAAATCCACAAACTTATTGGTTTAGGATTGTTTTGGCTTGTAAACCAAGCTTGATCTGTACATATTTCTCTCCTGATTCAGACAAAACAAGTTGTTCACTAGAGAAAGCAATATTATGGATTATGGACTTGTATTTTAGCTGAAAAGGGTGAAATGCACTTTTTGCTTCACAAGACGATAACTGATGGATAATTACTTATGGATTATTTTTATCAGTTGTTTGGATTCTCATTCTGACGGCACCCATTCACTGCAGAGGATCCATTGGTGAGCAATTTCTCCAAATCTGATGAAGAAACAAACTCATCCTGATCTTGGATGGTATGCAGATGATAACATTTTCAGCAAATTTTCATTTTTGGGCAAACTATTCTTTTAAGAATGTGTAAATAAATGATAGAATTGCCATTTATGAAATGATGAAGAACAAAGAAACAACTCTGGCTCAGACTTTAAGTGAAATAATTCTAAATCATGATGCTTGATTATAGAGTGGGTTCATTTGGGTTCACTATTACTGTGGTGTTCATGCCATGTCTTGCATCGGTTGAAATTTGCAGAGAAACATGTTTGGGGGGTTCAGCTCTCTCTAGTGAGAGAAAGAGGGAACAGACCTCTAAAAATAACCTAGAATTTAACACCCATCTCCGGCCCTTCGTCAGACCAAAGCAGTCGACTCAGCTCAGCACCTCTCCACCCAACCTGAACACAAAAATACAGAGAAAGAGGTATTTAAGTCAGAAGCAGTACTGAGACTCCAGCTGTTGATTGACACGTAAAATGAGACGTAGTTCTGCATTCGGCCTGGTTTTCATCTAAGCGTCTGCCTTTGGGCCTTATATTTACCCTCTCATGCTGTTTTAATCGAATGTTGAGATGACCTCAAGGAGGAAGTTTGGAGTAAAGTCTGAGGTTTCTGAAGAGAAAGAGGAATATGTGACACCAAACGGCTACGAGCTGGAGAAACACCTCACGCACGGCAGCGTCGCCTACACGCACGTCAATGAGGTCTGGCCCAATGTCTACATAGGAAACGAGTGAGTCGATTTGTTTGACTAACCCTAATATCAGTTGTGATGCTAATAATGCAGGATACATGAAAAGGATGCATACTAAAGCCACTCAATAACCTTCACCCAATTATACAGAAAGCCTATTGATTATTTTCCTTAAACCATCACTAAAGTCAGAGCCAGAGTTGTTTTGTTGTGCTATATTATATAGTAAACTGCAACTCTATGATTTATTTACAATTTCTTAAAAGAACAGTTATTCAAAAATGGCCATCCAATATGTAGATGAGTTTGTTTCTTCATCATATTTGGAGAAATTTAGCGTGCTCAGCAATGGATGCTCTGCAGTGAATGGGTGCCGTCAGAATGAGAGTCCAAACAGCTGATAAAAACATCACAATAATCCACACGACTAAAGCCAATCAATTAACGTCTTATAAAGCAAAACGCTGCATGTTTGTAGGAAACAAATCTATCAAGACGTTTTAACTTTAAAAATACAAGTCAGTCAGTTCTAAATCTATGCATGAATGTGAAATAGAGTCAATGAAGAGAGCAGACAAATATCGTTAATGGTCTTTTTAAAAATGTTATGGATTTTGATTTGCTCCGAAAGTAATTTCAACTACAGTATATAGTTGTAGTTCTTGTCGTGGAGAGTTTGAACGATTTTTATAGGTTACAGACATCGTTCTTAGTGTGACTGGGAGAATTTGACTGAACCATATGGAAAAATACTTCAACTCAATTCAACTTTATAGTCATTCTTCCACATACACACTACACAGAAGAGCGAAATGTCATTTCTGACGGACCAAGGTGCAAGACACTGACAAAACAAGTATACACACAAGTTCATGACAACAGGAATTAAACATAAGAGCACACTAAACATAACAAGAGCAATTAACACGAGGTAGAACTCTAAAATTGTGGTAATGTAAGAAATGTTAGAAGTGTAAGAAAAAAGTGCTAGTGCACAATTGAGGTGGCTCAGAGCAGACTAAATAATGTGCATTATTTGGCTGAGCGTGGATGTGTGTAACTGACCCTTGTGCAGTTGTGCAAGAGTGTCTATAGCGCACATGCAGCTAAGTTAAAGTGCAAAGTGCAGATGTATGCGAATGTCCAGTGGAGTGTTTTTCTGAAGGCAAGGGATGGGAAGGCAGTTTATAATGGGAGTAAGATGGTGGACTAGTCTAAGCTGTTGTGTTTCTGTGAAGAGAAACAGCAAAGGACCGATACAAGCTGAAGACGATGGGCATCTCACACATCCTGAACGCTGCGGAGGGCGAGTGGAACAGTGTGGATACCGGCGCTGAATACTACAGAGACATGGACGTGCATTACTACGGGATCACGGCGGAGGACGTTCCCACGTTCAACCTCAGCCAGTACTTCTATTCTGCTGCAGAACACATCCACCAGACCCTCAGAAACCGCCAGAGTGAGCTGAAACACAACATTTATTAATCAAGAGTGAATCAACATACTGCCAGTGAATATTTGGACACGTTTGAATGAATTTATGATGTAAAAACCTTTTGATCTAAAGCAGTGGTTCTCAACCAGGGGCCAGGGCTCACTAGGGGGCCCACATCAAACTTCCAAGGGGGCCTCAAGATGATTTAAACAAGTATTAAAATAAGCTCAAAGAAAATCGAGATATTTCTTATTTCAATTCACCCCATCAACATTTTTTTAAGAACTATGATTCTCGCAAATGTCTTGGTAATCCTGGATATTTGAGAAAGCCTCATTTTAAAAGTGTGATTTCTAGACCCGGAAAAGTCATTTCTATAATGAATATGCATAGTTGAAATGCAAGTTGAATATTCAAGTAGAGACTGTGAGTACCAATATTTAAAAAAAAAATCCTTATCCTGTAAATCACAGATTGGAAAAGTCATGCAAATGCATTGGTTTAAGAGAGTTGGATCCCTTTTACTTTATTTACTTTTTACTAATATTTATCTATATTTTAGTTATTTAGTTTGGCAGAAAGAGTTAATATGGAGAATTTTTTTCTTTTTTTTCTTGTGGACAGTTGAGGACCTTGAAGTCAAAAAGGTTGAGAACCACTGATCTACAAATATTCTGCTTAAATTAATTGCTTTACAAAGCGATTTAAACACTTTTTTTTTAAATAATAAAATTCAAGATTGAAATGAATGAGCTGGAACACATACTGAAGGAGAAGCATCACGAAGTGCACATCACACATGTTCCTCCTTCAATATGTTTAAAAGAAGTTGGCTGCATGTCCCGACTGAGCAGAGCTGTAATCTAGACAATGAAAAAGCTTAAATATAAGTTTTCATTTGTGCCACTTTCTTTCGATCATAACAAAGAATTACTTTTGTGTTATTTCAGAGTTTTCATCACTTATTCTAACATGTGGAAGATTTTCAAAATAACAATCAGTTGTGTCCAAACACTGCTGGATGAGGTTGTCATCTTGGCCTTTATTTCTCCAGATAAGCTTCTGATTCACTGCGTGATGGGCCGCAGTCGCTCCGCCACACTCTTCCTGGCCTACTTGATTATCTACGAGCACATGATTGTAGACGCCATCGAGCACGTCAAACGCCGGTGCCACATCATCCCGAACTGGGGCTTCCTGAAGCAGCTGAGAGAGCTGGACACACACCTGCTGGAGCAGAGAAGAGCTCAAAACACACGAGAGGACGACAGAACAGATACTTAAACACCAGAAATATTTACTGATATTAGATAAGAACTGTTTCTGTTTACATTTCTGGATGTAGACAATGGCAGCCAGTGAATAGTGTTTGAGTTCTAGGTATCTTTAAGTTTGGTCTGGCTCTATGCAAATAAAACATATAAGAGGCAATGCTAACAGAAAGCTTTTTCCAGGTATTAGAGCTTCTTCCTATCTAATTATGAGAATACACACACACACACACACACACACACCGGTTACGACAGTTAACTAACACCATTTAAAATTAAATTACTTTAAATAAAAATTAAATAAATAAAAACTAACTTAATTTGTTTCATTTAGTTGCCAAACCATTTCTAATTTTAGTATTTCTACAAATATATATATATAATTTAGTTTAACTTAATGTACTAAATAACCAACTAAAAAAAAAAAAAAACGATATACACGTGAAAACAATAACTAACAAACACAAATGACAAAAACACAAAATTACTAAAACTAACTAAAATGAAAACAAAATATAAAAATAAAAATAATTAATAATACGGATACAACAAACACTGACACAATTTAAAAAAGAGATGTACAACTTTGGAACAATTAAAATCTTTTTATTAAACTGGTCAGTTGAACAGTCCTGTTCCAGAAGCAGAAAGAGCAAGTGGAAACATTTCCCACATCAGATACAGCTTATGCCTATTTAAAAACGTTTGTGCGTTTAAGATACAATTTGGTATTTCGAAGAAACAATATATACCTGAAAGACATCAACTTGCAAGGCAAAAATCCTATTATATAATCCGTTTACTTGAATTTACTACTATTATTTTTTAGATATATAAATGCACTTACTTAAAATGATATCATAGATCTTTAATAGATTAAATATAGAAATGATGTTCTTGCAATGTAGCATAAAAACAGATCAAGGACAAACCATACTTTAACACAAATTCATCGGAGTGCACATATGTGGTCGTTGCAATCTTGATAAATGCCCAGTTTAACAGGAAACATGTGTAAATGAATGCAGAGGCACGCAGGTTGTGTTGCTGGAATTTCAGAACAAAAAAAATGAGATGGAAAGACTCCGTATTGGGAAATATGTGAGGGAGTTAATGGAAATCGGGTTTCTCAGGGAAAGTGCAGCCGACTCGCCGGATGATGACATTAGCGGCATAGTGACCTGCACGGATACACTCCTCCAACGGCTTCTCCTGAACCAACTCCGACAGGAATCCTGCAGGACACATAGACAAATATATATAGTTAATGTGTAGGCTCCGTTCTAAAGCTTAGTGAGCCGCCTTGATATCTACAGCATCCTAATCCTAACTCTTCTGCGTTGAGTCTAAGGCAGCCCATACAATATGGTAAAAAGTTGTGAAATTTGGCAGACGGATAGAGGACAGTCTGAACATTAACCACAGCAAATTTGGAGTCTCTAACGCAAACCCTCAAGCGCCACCAACTGTCCAAAGGTTGCACTCACATTTACGCTTATAACTTTTGAACTGTAATGGCTAGAAACGAATGACATAACTTTCCTCCTAGACGTTACAATTATCGCGAAAATCAAACCAGATTATCTTCAGACCATGGCGACAAAAAAACATGAAATTCAAGTTTATTAGTCAAACCGTTCTTGGATAACACATAAACGAATTTGACGAAGAGCTTGTTAAAGTGGACGTGAGGCTATATCTCTCCAATTCTTTAGCGTATTCAGACCAAACATAGAGTGTGTCGTCATAACCATGACCTGAGGCTCCCTGCACAGCTTCAGCACAGCGCCACCTAGTGAGGCAATTTTTGCTTATAATATCCGAACGGTTTGGCCAAAAATCACAAGACTTGTCTCTTTAGATTTGGAGAAGCATACAGAGTTGAACGATACCCAATTTTCCCATGTTGGCCATTTTTAATTTTTGTTGTAAAATAATTTTTATTTTACAACAATATTTTATGCTATATTTTACGAATCACATTGGTGCATCATATCAAAACTCTGTATGTCATCCTAAAGGTTTTCTAAAGCCTAAAGGTACTCAAAAAGTCTTCATGTACTTAAAGTCCTGCTTATAAATACAAATACATACTGTATATATTTTATATGCGCTGAAATAAAAATGTGGTTTAGGATTTACTTTGTTAAGAATATTCACTCAGAAACTGCAAATAATTACACAAAAATGGCAAGTAACACACTGAATGAAACATGATAATTATAAGTAGAAAGACTAAAATAGTAATTTCTTGTAAAATGTACTCCAATAATCTATTTGCAACTTCTAAAAATCAAATACAGTGTACTTTAGCATGATATTAATATATTATTGAACTAATAACTCAAAAACATCATTTATAGAAAAACGGCCTAAAATGATTGCCGAATCAGTTACCTCCCACAAAAGCGTCACCGGCACCATTAGTGTCCACGATGTCGTTCTGGTCGATGTCTAAAACGGGAAAGATTTTCACTTTATCACCTGAAAGAAGACAAACAAAGACAATTAAGGAAACACAACTCAAATGATCTGAACCCATCCAGATGTTGTTTGATGGACGTACCCACAGTGGCCACAGTGTCTTCTCTGCCCTGAGTGAAGACCACGATCCTCTGCCTGTTCTTATTGACTTTGGGCAGAGACTGAACCCTCCTCGCGATCTCAGCGATGTCTTCTGTCTGCAGGAACACGAGCATCAGTGCAAGAAGGTGATTATACAGTTCCGAGAGCGTATTATAGGAGCAGTTCATCCAAAAATGACAATTTCTTCTTTCGTGTTCAGTGTGCAAGAAAAAAATGGCATTACAGTATTTTTCACTCACCTCAAAGCCTTGCTCTTTTGCAAATGTCGCAGCTTCCTGTAAAACAAACATCAAGCAATCATCACCGCCGGTTCCTCAGCGGAGGAATGATCTTCACAAGCCTCCAGAACATCTCACATCTTCTGAGGAGCCTTTATTTCTTCAGCTCTCAATCAGCATTGGATTGCATTGCATTATATGTTTGGATCATTTCAATCTCATCTTACTGAGACATATTATTGGAGACGTAGAATGACGACTGATATTTATATCATGTTATGTCAGTATCTGCTCTACTGTTATAAAGATCTCAGTGATTTACATCACAAGCAGCAGAATTTCATCCCTTTTTGTAAATATAAATAACAGCATTTGCTCCAAATTGCCTATTTTTGCTCAGTTTGAGTCTCTGAATAAAATGTAGCTGTTTTTTTTCTTCCATATTCTCATCAGCCATAAAATCCTGATGGATCAAATATGATACTCAATAAAAACCCAGATGCAACTTTTTCCTGACTATTATTTCACACGTCAGGCTTTATAGGGTTAAAAGTATTCATCCTGATTCTGCACTTACAAACCAACGAGGAACATGAAGACTCACCGTCTCGTTTCCGAAGACGATGTCAACGTACGGCATGACCTTCATCAGCGGCTCTTTGAAGAACTGGCTGATGAAGGGAGCCGAGAGGTTCAGACCGAAGATCTTGTTGTTGTCAGACGCGTGTTTGGCCACTCTGAGGATGGACTCTGGAGACACGGTCAGGAAAAAACCCTGCAGGACAGACATTACTTGCTACTTTTGACATCACGAGTTTCTTGCCTAAGTTACAGCTGCTGATAAATCTCTCTATTCTCCCATTTGCACATTCAAACACACACGATGGTAGCACTTACTGCGATGTAGTAAACTCTCGCTTTCTCCACCAGACTCCAGTTCCTATCAACATCCAGATGTTTCTCTTTATTATAGCAGTTTGCTGCTGCCAGGTTTGCAACCAGAGACCTGCAAACACACAATAACAGTCAAACACTGATCCCAATGAGACTCGGGTTCAAATGAGTCCATGTGTGTGAGGGTGATTTACATCACAAGCAGCAGAATTTCATCCCTTTTTGTAAATATAAATAACAGCATTTGCTCCAAATTGCCTATTTTTGCTCAGTTTGAGTCTCTGAATAAAATGTAGCTGTTTTTTTTCTTCCATATTCTCATCAGCCATAAAATCCTGATGGATCAAATATGATACTCAATAAAAACCCAGATGCAACTTTTTCCTGACTATTATTTCACACGTCAGGCTTTATAGGGTTAAAAGTATTTATCCTGATTCTGCACTTACAAACCAACGAGGAACATGAAGACTCACCGTCTCGTTTCCGAAGACGATGTCAACGTACGGCATGACCTTCATCAGCGGCTCTTTGAAGAACTGGCTGATGAAGGGAGCCGAGAGGTTCAGACCGAAGATCTTGTTGTGGTCAGACGCGTGTTTGGCCACTCTGAGGATGGACTCTGGAGACACGGTCAGGAAAAAACCCTGCAGGACAGACATTACTTGCTACTTTTGACATCACGAGTTTCTTGCCTAAGTTCCAGCTGCTGATAAATCTCTCTATTCTCACATTTGCACATTCAAACACACACAATGGTAGCACTTACTGCGATGTAGTAAACTCTCGCTTTCTCCACCAGACTCCAGTTCCTTTCAACATCCAGATGTTTCTCTTTATTATAGCAGTTTGCTGCTGCCAGGTTTGCAACCAGAGACCTGCAAACACACAATAACAGTCAAACACTGATCCCAATGAGACTCGGGTTCAAATGAGTCCATGTGTGTGAGGGTCTGTAAAATCACAAAGGATCATTACAGGACAGGATTGTCATAAACAGTTTGAACGCTGAAGGGGAAACTGCATTAGTGCACAGATGAATCATAAAGATGTTTAATAAAGATGAAACTGTATATCGGTAATGTTATTGGTATCAGCCATCCAGCTTAGTTGATAATGAAATATTACAGGAGTATTAAGCAGTTACCATAGTTACATTGTTTTGTTATGCTGCTTAATTTCATCAGACATATTTTAAAATGATCTGCTATAATCTGGAATGATTATATTAGAGTTTCCCTGGATAAAGCAGTGCATTAGGTATATTACAATGGTTTGATGTCTTATTTCACGTCTCTTTTCTTAGCATGAATTGTGATAAAAAAAATAGGTTTGATTCATTTGCTCTACCATTCAAAATTTTGAGTAAGATTTATTTATTTTTAATAAATTAATTTTATTCGGCTGCATTAAAATGATCAAAAATGACAGTAAAGACATTTATGATGTTACAAAAGATTCCCATTTCAAATAAATGCTGTTTAATTGAACTTTCTGTTCATCAAAGAATCCTAAAAATTGAAATG